TTGGAATTTTTGACATTGAGAAGAGGTTGGTGGAATCAGTCACTCTTGTGTAACATTAAATAGGCAGCTTGTATTTTCAAAAAGTATTTATTCATAATATAATAACACATAACATGATCTTACTAAGCAAAGTAAGTGTGTGTGTGTGTGTGTGTGTGTGTGTGTGTGTGTGTGTGGGCATATTATTTTTGCTGAAAGAATTATTGTATAGACATAATACAAAATACACAATCACGAACTTTCTCCTTGTCCATAATCCAAAACACTCCCTGGCCTGAACACATGCATAACCTACGTCTTTTTTTGAAGGATGCGATCACATGACCAATGGACTGACAGGAGTAGAGAAGAAAGTAGTCCAGAGCTGTCCAGTAAGGAGGCAGGTTGGGTGGTGGATAGGATTTTCCCCAGCAGACTGGTGTTCGGTATTGTACAAACTTTGAGTGAACTTTGAGTCATTTAAGCAATGTCCTCATGATGTTTCTTTTCCTAAACCTAACCACAGTAACTTTAATTGTCTAAACCTACCTAACTTCAGTAACTTTACATTAATTACATAACTTAACATTAATGAAGTTATGTCTTTCATGGAGTGTGAATTTGTATACATTTTAGTAAGATATATGAATCATTGTATGAGGATACATTGATGTAGATATGTGAAAGGTGCACTCAAAAGTTAGAGTGATGCTGTCACCCACCCTAAACCTAACCATATGTCTTTGTTCATGTCCCAGCGTTGGTAGCAACACCCCAGAACTTCAACAGCAGATACAGGAGGACGTGGCACGTAGTATGTGGACGTGAAAGACCACTGACAAAGTGGCAATATGTGTGAATTGGGATGAGAACATGTCGAGTTCCCCCAGAGCTAAAGTGAAGTCATGCTTCACCTCAAGGGCACCAATTATCATATTGTTTGTCTTTTTATCACTAGATTTTGACAAATCACACACTTATATTTGTGGTGTATTCTTTTGCTGAGGCATTTTAATGGCATTGCCTGCCTCTCCATGTGGAAATGTTCCACCAAAACAAGTTCACTCCAGAAACTATACTCATTGTTTGCTAATGACAACAAAAACATAATGCTGTATTGGCTATGATGCTGTATTCAAGCCAGTCTCAGTTGTGATACCAAACAGGGACAAATGAACACTTCTTTCCGCTGAAAATGCTGGCTGGGTACTGTTGTACGACAATTTGTTTGGGCTGGTTGGTCCCAAGGTCATCCACTGGTGCTCTTTCACAGGTAGCACTTAGGCTAGCAAGTGCAATCTGGCTGCTCACACAAGGAGGCTCTGGTTTTTGCTCTTCAGATGCAGCAGTGCTGGGGCCAGGCGCATTTGCTCCCTCTTCTGTAGATGGAGCTTGAGGGGGCCTTGAAGAGGCAGCACCGTGTAGCCACTTTCTTATATCCAATCAAAGTTCTTGGTCTTATTTCAGTCTGATAATAGCTTGCTTTCACTGTGAAAAATGGTAGCGCCGTCTTGCTCACTGACTGGGCTTTCCAATGAGCATATGTCTCCAGAGAGGACGTAAATATAACCAACAAATTTCATTTTTATTTTTTTTAAGTTCTTATTTCATTTACCAAAGATGATTTCACATTCAATATGATAAATTTAAAGTAATTCTTAAAATACAAAGTTTGGCACAAAAGCTTGGCCTGCTTGTGGGTGAGTGGAAGGGGGGCACATTAACTAGCATAGCCTGCAAATGCCCCTTATA